ACACATCCAGTGTCTTTCTGTGAACTGCATAAAGTGTGAGAGTAGCAGTGAAACTGAAAAATGGTTTTGTATTTTGATGTAGCATTTTCTACATACAAAACATACATGAGGTGAACTTAGGTGATGCACGAAAATGCAGTTGCTACTATATAATTCTTCTCTGAACTGGGCACACAGGGAGGCAGCTCCAAGAACCTCTACGTGTGTGTTTGAACGTTAGGAACAAATTTTGTAAACATTTTCAGTTGATGTAGCTGCTAAATTTGAAGCATGGACCTCAAAAAAGCTTTTTAGAAGCAACTTACATTCAGGAATACAGGTTGCTACATAAAATTTGTCTTTTGGTGACACCTCTCCCCCCGCACCCCCCAAGGATTTAAATAAGCCATTTAGTCAGAATGAATCAAGGGTATTGGTTGTACAAGGTGATGTTACTTCTTTAACTTGGATTTAACAAACCGTTCTATGTCCTAGGCTTTGTGTTGAAAAGCTAAAGTGGAAAACAGAAGTCTTAATTGTACAGCTTTTACAGCTTACACTTACTGAGTTTTGTACTTGTAAGTATCAATGAATAAATTTAGACATATCACAAACTTTTCAATGCTGACTACTCCTGGGGAGTTTCTTGTCCTTCACATGCCTGGGAATGGTTTCCAGGATTAGCTGCTCAATCACCTTCCCACGGATGGAGATGAGACTGAGCAGCCTGTAGTTCTCTGGGTCCTCCTTCTTGCCCTTCTTGAAGACAGGAGTGACATTTGCTTTCCTCCAGTCTTCAGGCACTTCAGCCAGTTGCCACGATTGATCAAAGATTATCAAGAGTTGCCTTGCAATGACATCAGCCAGCTCCTTCAGTGCTCATGTGTGCATCCCATCTGGGCGCATGGACTTATGTCCATTTTGCTTAAGTATTCCCTGACCTGATCCTCTTCCACCAAGGGTACGTCTTCCTTGTTCCAGTCTTTCCCCCTGGTCTCTGATGCCTGGGATTCCTGAGGGCTGGTCTTGCTAGTAAAGACTGAGACAAAGAAGGCATTCAGTATCTCAGCCTCTTCCATGTTCTGTGTAACCAGGTCCCCTGTCTCGTTAAGCAATAGGCCCATATTTTTCCCAGTCTTCCTTTTGCCACCTATATACTTATAGAAGCCCTTCACATTGTCTTTGACATCCCTGGACAGATTCAATTCCATTTGGGCTTTAGCTTGCCCAACTTCATCCATCCCCAGGCAGAGCTCCATGCACTCCAGCTGGTCTCTCACATAAAGGGCAACTCCTCTTCCTCCTCCTCATCTTAGAATCATAGAATAGTTTGGGTTGGAAGGGACCTCTAAAGATCATCTAGTCCAACCCTCCTGCCATGGGTAGGGACATCTTCAACTAGATCAGGTTGCTCAGAGCCCCGTCCAACCTGACCTTGAATGTTTCCAGGGATGGGGCATCCACCACCTCTCTGGGCAACCTGTGCCAGTGCTTCACCACCCTCAGCATAAAAAACTTCTTCCTTAGATCTAGTCTATATCTACCCCCCCTTTAGTTTAAAGCCATTCGCCCTTGTCCTG